TCTTCTCCTATAATAAAAGGAACCCAACCTGAAAGACAGGATTGGATATCCAAAGGCATATGTGTATCTCTAAGATGTCAGGAGTCAGGCGAAAGGAATACTGTGGCAGCAAATCAAGCTGCTTGATTACAGCCTTGAGTTGTTTTTTTAAAGTGGAAAAGGCATCGATGACACATGCATATGGGTAAGGAATGAATGACCCTGAGAGGTTTGGTGCAGCCTATACACTCCTTGTTCTCTAGTCTCCCCCTTTTAGATTGGAGATCTGGACCACTAGAGAGACATTAAGAAGAATGTGGGGTTGGCCCTCTGAGCATCCCTTTGGAGTCTCCTTCACCCATATCCTCCCTGCTCCTGGGGCTACATTACCACCCTATCCCAGTCTAGTTGGTGAAGGAAGCAATAACATCATAAGGCAATTGACTGGGATGCTAGGACTGGAAATAATTCTCCAGAACTTGCACTGCACGTCCCAAGATGAGTTACAAAGAAGTATGGAGTGGGGGTGGGGGGGTAGGTGGTGCAGGGGCGGCAAGATGGTAGTCTCTATGCTTTGCAGATTATTCTACAAACTTGGCTGTCTAACTGCATAGAACTCAGGGGCATCTCTCCGCTAACCAGATGCCCAAGGATGCAGTCAAAACATAAGCACATTGCTCAAATTTTCTCTGGGTCTATGTGCATAATTATGAGTAACAGTTCTGTTTCTGACAGGTTGTTTCTGTCCAATAAATGGAGTCTGGAGTTAGCTATTCATCATATTTGAAAGAAGTCAATAAAAAATTATTAGGTAAAAAAAAAGAAATCTTTGAGGTTTTGGAAACCAATTTCCACATGTCAGATCATTCCCTCAGGTTTGGCTTTCTCATGCTTTCTTGGCCTCAGTCTGTTGGATTTCAGACATATCTTGATTTTTTTCTGTCTCAGTTCTCTAGGTCAGTGCAAATTTCCAAAGGTGATTAAATGTTTCCTGCAGTGTTTCCTGTGCAAGGTTCCCAGAAAGAGAAGAAATGTAAATAAAGGTTGCCTAAGTGCCAAAGCCAAAGGAGTCTGTGGGTGAGGGAGATGTTAATGAGCCCAGCTGCTTTACCAAAAGGTTGGAGCTTCAAACCACCTAGAGGCACCTCAGATGAAAGGCCTGATGATCTACTTCTGAAAAATGAGCCATTGAAAATCCTACAGAGCACAGTTCTGCTCTGACACACACGGGGTTGCCATGAGTTGGGAACAACTCAGTGGCAAATGATTGGTTAAGAAGCCAAAGGAAAGATTTTCAAAGTATGACAATGTGGAATCTTGCTTTTCACCCCTAAAGCAATATTCAGTATGAGCTAAGCTGTGATGGGAGGTAGAGGCTTGAGCAAGTTCTCTCCCTAGACTCAGGAGCACAAATGCGAAATCTGACAGGTATGGGCAGACGGTATCAGCGGTGAAGTGGCCAGGTATCAGAGGGCAATAGGGAGAAGGGGTGATGGGTAGCAGCTGACTACTCAGAAACAACTTGTGACTGTTATACAGGAACACAGGGCCAGCAATGCCAGACTGTCCAATTCTTTTGGAGAAACCAGAGATTCTGGTTCTTACATGGATTAATTTTAAGTGTTAGCTCACTTTTTTTTTTTTAAAAAAAAAAACATGCAGAGATGGAATCTACCAGAAGGTATCTAGAATGTAAGCAACAGAAGGCAGGAAGAAGAGCCTGGTGCAGGGAGAGGGTCCACTCAATGCTTGTGGGTGGGGGAGGACCTTCCTGGGTCAGGAGGCAGACAGCCCTGGGACAAACTACCTCAGGGTTGAAAAGAAATGGAACATGGAGGCTCCATAATCAAGGGAGGAAATAACTACAGAGTGACCTTGAGCCACAGCTACTGGGATGGGGAGGAAAGGGTGAAATGCAATAGACAAACTAAAGAATTTTCAAAAAGCAGAACTCAGTAAAAGACCAGATGTGCAGGACTGGGGCAGTGATGAATCTTGCGGGGGAAGCCTGTGATGAACTTGTCCACAGGGCTGAGGGACTGGTCATGAGGGAGAGAAGGTAAACACATTCTTCTTCACTAGTTTCAAAGCTCTTCATCTGGCTCACCAAGAGGACCTTATTTACTTTCTCCTTCATTCTCCCACAAAGGGGATCAGAGGATAACCAGGGGCCCAGAGGCCCAAGCACTGAGAGAAATAGCCCAATCTATAGTCAATTAGGTGATGAGATATTCAGAAGACTGTTGCAGAGTTAAGAGAGGAACAAACAAGACAGGGGACAGCATCTACAAGAAAGTGGTGAGAACAGCTTTGGCTATGAGGAATTATGCATATTGGACCAAATGGTAGAGAAGCAAGGACAGAAGTGGGTAAGGGAGACCTTCAAACACTCTCAAGGCATGGATTTTCATAGTATGACGCATGAGTTGGGCACAAGTCCACAATTTTTCTTAAGACTCAGTGTTAAGGATTGGATTGTATCCGCCAGAAATATGTGTTATATTACTTCAACGCCTGTGGTTATAATCCCATTTGGGAATGGGTTGTCTTTGTCATGTTAATGAGGGAGATTTCTTGTAGGGTGTGTTTTGAGTCAATCTCTTTTGAGATGTAAAAGAGATTAAAGAAGCAAGTGAGAGAAGTAAAGATGGGAGAGAGTGGCTGGTGGATTTGAACTGATAGCCTTAGTTAGCAGAAAAATACCTTAGGCACTATGTCACCAGTGCTCCTAAAGATGGGAGAAGAGAGATACAAAGTCATATGAAGATTCTCAGGAGCAGAAGCTCAGAGACAGGGACCTTCCTCTACAGCAGACAGAGAAAATCTTCCCCTAGAGCCTCTCTTTGGAAGGAATCTACTTCCGTAGAGATACTGCCTCGGAAACCCAAGGAGGGGTCGCTGTGAGTCAGATTCGACTCGACAGTAATGAGTTTTTTCTTTGTTTTGTTTTAGAGTCAGCATCCTGAATTTGGACTTACAGCCTCCTACACTGTGAGAAAATAAGTTTCTGTCTGTTAAAGCCACACACTTGTGGTATTTCTGTTATAGCAGCACCAGAAAACTGAGACACTCAGAAATCAAACACAAAAGTATTGTTGAGTATAACTATTCAGAACAAACCAAAACTGACAGATTCAAGGCAATTTCTCAGCTAAAAGTAAATCTTTTCATGCATGACTTCTGTCTAAAACACAATTTTTTACAGTTATCAGACTGGGTTCAAGGCCTTGGACAAATCCTGATTTTCACTTTAAAAGATAAACTTGATATCAGCAGTTTAAGAACAACTACAAGCACTTGTTAATTAAAAAAATTATTAGAGTAACTGTACTTACCAATTAGCTAACTACTTAGTAAATCTGTATTTGCTTAGTATGGCCATAACACATACTGCTGCGATGTGCGGCCAAGTCAATTCTGACTCACAGTGACTCTATATGAAAGAGTAGAATTGCCCCATGGGATTTCCTAGGCTGTAATCTTCATTGGAGTGACCACTAGGCCTTCCTCCTTCAGAGCCACTGTTGTTGTTGTTGTTATGTGCCGTCGAGTCGGCCCCGACTCATAGCGACCCCTCCTTGGGTTTCCGAGGCAGTTTCACTACGGAAGTAGGATTGCCCAACCTTCCTTCCGAGGAGTGGCTGGTGGGTTTGAACCGCCAGCCGTCTGGTTAGCAGGCAAGTGTCTTAGCCACTATGCTACCAGAGCTCCCTAGGTGGGTTCAAATTCCCAAGCATTTGGTTAGCAGCTTAATCACTGTGCCACCACTGCTACTTAGGCACTAAGCCAATCTCAGCCCACTGCCATCGAGTCAATTCTGACTCATAGCAACCCCACTGGGTTGCCAAGGCTGTAAATCTTTAGTAGATTAGTAGATTGCTTCAACATCCTTCCGCGGAGTAGCTGGTAGATTTGAACTGATGACCTTCTGGTTAGCAGCCCAATGTCTCACCCACTATACCACCAAAGCTTCTTAGGCACTACACTAGGACCTTTAAATGCCATCTCATAAATCTGTGCAATAATTTTAAGAAGCAGCTGATAGTATCATCATCGATTTACCCATGAGGAATAAAAATGAGGCTTAGAGAATCTCAGTCATCTGTCTAAGGTGACACAATCTTTGAGAGACAGAGCCATGTCAGAACCAAGGTACTTCTACTCCAGGACCCTTGCTCTAAGCCAGAGGGCAGCATACATTTTCTGTAAAGGGTCCCATAGTAAATATTTTTGGCTTTGTAGGCCATGTGGTCCCTGTTGCAACTATTCAACTCTGCCATTGCAGCAACCATAGACAATTAAACAGATGGACGTGGCTGTGTTCCAAAACAACTTTATTTATGGACAATGAAATTTTAATTTCATGTAATTTTCCCATATCATGAAATATTATCCTTCTTATGATTTTTTTTTTTTTGTAACATAAAAACTATTCTTAACTCATGGGCCATAAAAAAACAGGTGGCCAGCTGGCTTTTTCCCCACATGCCACAGTTTGCTGGCCCCTGGTCTAAGCCACTAGGCTATGCTGTCCTCTAGGCATTTGACTGCTAACTAGAAGGCTGGTGGTTCAAACCCACCAGCCACTCCTTGGAAGGAAGGTTGGGCAACCTACTTCCGTAGAGATACTACCTCAGAAATCCAAGGAGGGGTTGCTATGAATCAGATCTGACTCGATGACAGTGAGTTTGGTTTTGCTCAAGTCATGTGCTGAATTTCCTTAGGAGGTGCATGGGATTTGTTTTAGGATGATGCTTGTGAGAGCACATCTGGATAGGGTACCTGAGTCTGAAATTCAATTGTGGGAAAAGGTTCAACAGAAATGGCTACCTGAGGTACCCCTCAAAGCACCCTGGCCATATTATGAATTTTTCTTCCTTTCCAGTCCCTTGCTTTCTTCTATTGAAACAAACATTGAACCAAGTCAATCTAAAACCAGGGGAAGTTCTGGGTAGGACAGGGGTGTCCCTTCCTATACAACACAGTTTTCAGCAAACATGGGCCCACTGGGTCCTTCTTACCTGCAAGGTTTGGCTGAAGCGCTTTAATGGTGTGGCCTTCACAGGTGGGATGAGGTTTGCTAGTGACGTGACCCTGGAGAGGGGTTTGACCCGTTTATTACTAGGCTCCTGTATGGTTTAAAAAAAGGAAAAGAAAATGTCAAGGTCAATTACAAAGACATCATTGCACCATACAGTCACTTCCCACTCCCGGATCTGCTGGCTACACACAGATCTGTGGAATGTAAACAGTGCCTGTCTCACTCAGCTGTGAGGAGATGACCTGGCTTAGAAGCCAAGGAAGCAAAAATGGCAGGGAGATGTCAACAGAAGCAGCTTCTGCGCTGATAGCAAATGAGCTCGTTACTTATCCCCAATACCTACAGTTTTTAATTCAGAAGCTTCCATTTAGTAGAATCATTCTCCCCATCCCTCCTTTAGACAAAACCCATCTCTGATTTCCCATCCAATGACCTTGTCAGGCAGTCATCTTTTGATGCTTCCAGTTTTTAAATCTTTTTAAAAACCGTTTTCCCACCTTGCCTGAAGCAGCTGCTCTGAATTCCTTTTATGCAATGGCTTTCTAAAGCACAAAGAATATCAGTGTTTTCTAGTTCACAAACTCAAACATTAAATTTACAAAATTCTATTACTGAACTCTTGAGAAAGTATCTTTGCATCTACAGCATATTTGAAATGCATTATATTATATTTATAGATAACCACCAGTCAGCAGGAGAAAAATACTACCATGGGCGTCCTTTTCTGTACTACACATAGCCACAAGTTTTCAAAATCACCTGCACAAAAATATGCTTTGCAAACCTGAAAGTTTCCAGAAACCAGGCTGATAGGGGAGGGAGCACACACCCACACCAATTCTGCAGACAAAAATTACATAAATAAAAACAACAGGCTGTGAGGAAGAGAGAGATGACAGACAAAACGTTTACAAAGAGAAAGAGAACAGAGAACAGTTACCCTTGTCCTCCTAAGCTCCATCTGACCTGAAGTAGACTCTGGACAGCACAAGACGACACCAAATTTTGATGAAAAAAGCCAAACCTGCCAATTGTTGCAGCAAACCTCAATCATTTCCAGTGGGAAGGTCAAGGTGCTCATCTTTCTTTTTCAGCCATTGCTTTCAAAGTTTTGAGGGTTAACCCAGAACTTCAGATTCTCCAAAGTATTCCTGCATGGTAGACTGAACATAGTAGGTGCTTGGGAAAATCTTTCCTGAATTTGGAATCCTGCTGAAAAGTTCTCATATCATTTTACACCCTTGCCAGTCTTAGCAGCTTTTAGAAGCTTTCTTTGAAAGAGATAGTCTCCAACCTGTTTTTTCTTTTTTTAGACAGAAAAATAAAAACGCTAAAATAAATAAAAGTTCAACACAATTCTACAGTGTGGCCAGGGTGATTTCACAATTTCTCAGAGTCAAATACTTTTCTAACACGAAGAATGAATCCAGGCTGCTGGGTACCTCTCTGGCTTCTTGGCATGCTGAGCTGAGCAAACAGCTGAAAACTCTCCAAACACGGCAAAGGCTCAGTTCCAAACGGAAAGGACGAATCTCCCAACGTGAGAGACAATGCACTGCAATCATTCTAAGTGTTCAAGAGAAAGGTCTGGCAGCTCATCTGCTTGCAGGTGACAGTGCCCTTTAGGATGATCCCAGTCCAGTGCCTGGCTCCTGACTATCTGTGTCCAAAGGAGGAGGTTTTTTTTTTTTTACGTCACAGCTGCACTGCTGGCATACTGAATCCATACAAACACATACACAGCCTTCTGAGTGTCTCCTGAATTTCTCTATATGGCTCCTGCTTTGGGCTGGAAATGCCCAGGGTTGTGATATCACTGTCTTTGGTGGCACAAACAGCATCGCAGCAAGCGAGGAGCCAGGTGTCTTGGGGGAGCAGATCTGAGTTCCAAATAACCCTGTGTGTACCTCAGAATCCAGAAGACTCCTGAAGCTCTGCTTTTTTTTTTCTTTTTAACGGCTAAAGCTGCTAGGTCACAGATTCTGGGAATGCGGAGGTTGCTGGGCAAATGCCAATCAGGTTCTCTTTAAAAAAAAGAGCAGAGAGCACTGCACGCTTGGGAGGATGGGGAAAGATTCGGCACCCTTCCACTTGCTGTGTCATCTTTTCTAAGGTTCTGCTGACTCTGCTGCTCATCGTACGTGACCCAGTCGGACTGGCATTTTCTGCACAGCTACAAGATTATGTACAATGCAAACACTAGCTCCTCTGCAGGCTGAGCAGACTCCTGCTACAGGAGATTGTAATTAAACTGCTTTTCTAAGGCACTGCCGGTTTGGAAGTAAACATCGAGCTGCTCTACGACATTCTGACTTTCCCAAGTAATGCACAATGGAACCAGAAACGGTCGCTGTGTGATTCAGTGCTATGACCAGCAATACAGGCAGGTGCAATTTCAAAGCAAGAACACTTACAAGGTTACTGGATCCATGGGGGAAGCTTTATGCCTGATCCACATGAGTGAAGTACAAATTACGGTGTTCTCCTTGAGGAAGACTGAAATCTCACAAATAAATGCAATGCCAGGGATGCTTCTGGCTTTGCAGAGAGATGACAATACAACCCACAGGGAGCCTTCCTAATCCAACAACTCAGTGGCCAGACAAAGCTGGGCAAGGTCAATGCTAAACCCAGGAACAAGATGTTCTGTTAAGTGAAGGCAGCAACTTCCCCACCACCACCACTACCATGTGCTTATAAAGCAGGATAGGAGGGCATCTCAGTAAAGAGGTTTAAAAAAAGAAAAGAAAAAGGAATGAGCATTCTGTAGGCAGCATTTTGTGAACAACAGTTTTGTTTCATTTTTGCCAGGCTTTGTAGCCTTTTTGTTTTTCTTGTCATATTGCATTAGGACCCCTGTATAATGTTAATTATAAGACATGATAGTGAGCATACTTGCCTAATTCCTGACTCTAAAGGGATTATTAAGATTTTATCAGGTAGTGGTGATGATTACACCACATGGTCACTATAATTAAGTCACTGTATTATACACATAAAAAATGTTGAAATGGCAAATGTTTAATTTTTAAAAATTTTTATTGTAATGTGAGTGAAAGTTTACAGAGCAAATTCATTTTCCATACAGTAGCTCACATACACTTTGTCTCATGACATTGACTGCAATTTCCCACAATGCCAACACTCTCTTCCCACTTCCTCCCCATAGTTAGAAAATCCCTGTGTCCTACCCTCCCATGCATTCCTAGCCCGAACTGTCTCCCTGTGCATACATAGGGAGCCCTTGTACACATACAATGCGCTTCTATTCTCCCATGATTGATCTCTCTAAGGAGTCTATCTACCTCATGTAAATGTTCAGCTCAAATGCCAGTCTTTTGTTTTGTTGGAAGCCACAGGAGTGGGTTTAATTCCAGACCTGAAGGGCAGCTAGTGGCCATAATCTCAGGGGTTCCACTAGGATCTATCAGACCAGCAAACCTTTTTTTTTTTTTTTTTAATGATTTTTGAGTTTTGTTCCACATTGTTCTCCCACTTTATCTAGGATCATCTACGTAGATCCCCCTCCCAGTGGTTCACAGTGGTAGCTGGGCACCATCTAGTTCTTCTGGTCTCATAGTCATACAGGCTGAGAATGGCATGGTGTATCAGTCACTTGGACTAATCCTTTCCATGCATCTTTGGTTTTCTTCATTCTTCTTTGCTCTGGACAAGGACAGCCATTGTTGCATCTAGATGGCTGCTTGCAAGCTTTTAAGATCCCAGTCAGTACTCACAAAAGTAGGATGTGGAACAATGATTTTGTGTAGTATGCTAATTAAGCCTGATGTCCCGTGACCATGGTCCTGAGCCCACAGGTCCATCTACTCACTCCCTCTAGGTAGCTGGCTGTGACGAAGAAGTGACTACAACTTTGTCCCATGTCAGCTCTACTATATACCTGGGAATTCTTACAAACATACAAATACACTTACAGAAACATTGTCTGCTAACCCTATACATGGTCATGGGCGCACTCTATCTTGCATAGACATACTTAATAGTTCAGCCTGTCCATCCATCTATCCACACATAGATCAATGTTCGCCATCACTGACAATGCAGTACTGTATGTGAAAAAGGGTTTATCTTTGTTGTCTGTACCTCCCATGCACCTCTCTATGTCTTCCTCTTCCTCAATGCCACTGTGCTGATCACTCACATGCGGTACATTACCCTTCCCTTCACCCAAATCAATACTTTGTCTCTACCTATCTAGCAGCTTTCCCACCCTATCCCACCCTAGCAACCAATAAAGAAAATTTCCTTCCATATAGAAACCTTTCCTTGACTTTTTACAATGACAGACTAATACAATATCTGTCCTTTTGTGCTTGACTTATTTCACTCAGCATAATGTCCTCCAAGTTGACCCACGTTATATAGTGTTTTGCAGATTCTATTTATTCTTTAGGGTTGCAAAGTATTCCATTGTGTGTATGTACGATAGTTTGGTCATCCATTCCTCTGTGGATTAGCACTTCAGTTGTTTCCATCTTTTTGCTACTGCAAACTGTGCTGCGATGAACATGGCTGTGGAACTATCTGTTCTTGTCCTGGCTTCCACTCCTTCTTTAGAATATATACCTAGTAATAGGAGCTCTGGTAGCATAGTGCCTTAGGCACTTGACTGCTAACCAGAGGCTGGCAGTTCAAACCCACCATCCACTCCTCGGAAGGAAGGTTGGGCAATCTACTTCCGTAGTGATACCACCTCAGAAACCCAAGGAGGGGTCGTATGAGTCGGGTCTGACTCCATGGCACATAACACCACCACCACCTAGTAATGGAATTGCTGGGTCAAACAGTATTTCTAATTCTAACTTTTTAAGGAATCGCCATACTGCTTTCCACAGTGGTTTTATCATTTGACAGTCCCATAAGCAGTGTATGAGAGTCCCAATCTTTCTGCATCCTCACCAGCATTTATTATTTCCTGTCTTGTTGAACTTTGCTACTAGTGCTGGGGTGAGATGGTATCTTGTTGTTGTTTTGATTTGCATCTCCCTAATGGCTAACGGCGGTTTGGTTCAAACCCACCAGCCACTCTTCGGAAGGAAGATGGGGCACTCTACTTCCATAGTGATACTGTCTCAGCAACCCAAGGAGGGGTGGCTATGAGTCGGTCTGACTCAATGGTACATAACAACAACAACAACAATGGCTAACGATGATGAACATTTCTTCATGTGTTTGCTGGCCATGTGAATATCCTCTTTGGTAAAGTATCTATTCCTATCTTCTGTGCTTTTTTAAACTGGATTATTTTGAAATGGTCAATGCTTTGCTACATATACTTTTACTATAATTTTAAAAAAGATTTCTTCACTAAGTATTGTGCTTGCTGCTAGCCTGGAAGAAACATCCTTTATCAAGCCAAGAAATTTCCCTTCTATATCAAGTTGCTGTGAATTTTCATCATGTATAGGCAATGACTTTTACGCAATGTTTTTCCTTCATCTATTCCAAGGACAAGGAAGGGAAAAAAGAAGGAAGAAAAAAAAGGGGAGAAAAGAAAGGAAGGAAAGTAGAGAACAAAGAAAGATAGGCATAGAGGTCCTATTTTTTTCACAAAGGGACTGACTCAGTAATTTAGGATTTCTTTTGTGCTTGAAAGAGCCCTGGTGGTGCAGTGGTTAAGTGCTTAGCTGCTAACCAAATGGTTGGTGGTTTGAACCCACCAGCTACTCTGTGGGAGAAGGATGTGGTAGTCTGCTTCTGTATAGATTTATAGCTTTGGAAACTCTATCCCCTAGACAGTTCTGCTCTGTCCTATAGGGACTCTGTGAATCAGAATCAACTCAAGAGCAACAGGTAGTAGTACAGGGAACTCAGTATCCAGTTCAGCCCACAGAATGTGGTCGGAATTCTGCATATTAATTGTTATTTATTAATTTTAAATAAATGGACATTTACTGCTTTGCAAATATACCAGTGAATGCTGAGCTGGGGCAGACAGGTGCTATCAAAGGCTTCTGGTTTCAGTTCTTAGTGAAGGCCTAGTGAGAAAAGATACTACAGAGTCAGACATCATCCAGAATTGAACATAATTAGAAGCCCAGTAAAATGGGTGGGGGGTGGAGAGGGGATCACACTACTGAGTTTTAATAACTCTTTGGTAACACAGACTTGAATAGGGAAAGGCTGATGTGTCTGGGAAAGCAAAAGCCAAGAGAGCTACTTTGCAACATTTAAATTTAAAGGCAAGCAACCCTATGGAGAAGAACCAGCCCAGCCGCCAGACTCCCTGAAGTCTGTTTTATTCTATTAACTGGTTTAACATTTGGTCTCATTTAGAAACCCATCCACAGGCTCACACTCACTGAACAACCCAGGGGACGGTAATTCTCATTCATTTTAGAAATGGAGAGAAAATAGTGGCTATGTCTAGTGGCCATGTCAGATCAGACTGCCCATGGGCAAGAGTCCTCTGTTGTGAGCGTGCTTTGCTTTCCCCAAAAGTGCATTGCCCAAATAAAATTTTCTCTCCATCCCTACAGCAGCACCACCTTC